TCTTTTAACCTAGGGTCTAGGCTTGCGGAGTAGCACCGTATCCGTTAGTAAACAAAACACGTGGTTGCAATCTACCGGGTTGTCCAAATCTGGAAGGGGTAAACAATGCTGATCTTTTAACAGGGGTAAGCTGTTTTGCCCACTTTTTTCGAAAATTTTGTTGAAAGTACAAGTGGGTAATAGTAAATAGTATTGACTTAGTACTTTTCTTTAAAGAAAGTATATATTTCTTTAAAAGTAGTAGAACAAGTAGGTCTGAGCATACTACTGCTCTCCTTTTCGGTAAGTGATAAACTTTGAACTTGTTAGCAAGTAGCATATGAGAACTACTTCTAAACAACAAGTGCCATCCCCATGGTGAGTGATAAGCTCTAAATTTATTAGCAGATAGCATATGAGAACTATCTCTAAATAATAGGTGCCGGTTTATGGTTTTTGTCAGTTTTATATTCTTTTTCTCAAACATATTTTACTGTTTTTTGTTAAAATTTTGGGTTTGAAAAGTTGGTCTGAGGAATCATCGCATGCTTCGATTTTCAGATTTTTTGGCAATAAATAAATGACTTATGTTTGTTCTTTTCAATGCAATTCTATTAATATATCAAACACTATATATTTTGCTAGCATTTCCATCTATACCGATTTATAATAAATAAATGCTAGATGTCTATTTTATCAAGTTCGATTTCATTCTATCTAATTATTTGCCTCCTATCTCTACTATATTTGATAAATAAATGCCGTATTATCATTCTTTTGACTTCAATTTTATTCTGATAACAATCACCAAGATTATTTGTTCATTATCGTTTCCAATCTTACTAGTTTTTAGTATTTTTTGATTCATTGTCATTTCTGTCTCTGCTAGTATTTGATATCTTGTGTGAAGCATTTAGCATCAAATTCTATGAATTTGTTGATGATAGTTTCATATTATCAAGCATTAAACTAAATTTGAAGTAAAGTTAAACATGTATAAAGAAAATTCTTCAAATTAATAACATACAACTTATATTATTCTTAATATTTCCAAAGGCACCAATATCAAATTTTGCTAATAAATTGAAAACTTTTAATAAGCAAATAATAAAGAAAGATAATAATCAAATTAAGTCAAATCTTATATAAACCATCAGATTCGATGCTCTTTTCAATAGTAGTATCTTGAAGTTGGTATTAACAGCTGCAAACTTTGGCTGTTATAAAAAAAAAAATAAAAAGTTATATTAATACAATATTTGATAAGTTTAAAAAATTTATAACAAACAATTTTCAAATTCACAATCTTAGCAGTTTTTTATCATTTCTAACCTTATCTTTTTTACTTATATTATCTCTATCATATATATTGTTCTTTGACTCTTATTTTATTTTGATATCAATATTCAAAATTATCATTTCACTGCATTTCCCCTCTTAGCTGGTTTTTCAAATTCTTATTCCACTCACGTTCCCTATCTCTGCTTGGTTTTGACAATAAATGAATGCCATGTGTTTATCTATTCAACTCCAATTTCATCTCAATAATGATTATATGATTATTTGTTCAACTAGAATTTTCCATCTTCATTAAATTTTGACAATAAAGTAAATACCCTATATTCTACTACAATTTCATCAAGCTAAAGTTTTCAAGACTAAATATCTATTACTAGAGTTTCAAAATTAACAATTTCAGAAATAAAAATCGAATATATCATAAAAATATGTCTGATTTCATGAAATAAATAATGATTAATAATAAAAGTAAATTGGAATACGTCATACTGAAGTAAATTCTCTTGATTTAACTTTGAAACCCAGTATTTCTGTTTCAATTTTTTATTTTTCTAACTCGACTTATCAAAAATTCTACTTGTGCACAAAATATACTACTGTTAAACTAATCTAATTACCCAATACAATAAATCAACTTATTTAACAAAGTTTTTACCCTATCATTCAGTCTTTCGAGTCTTGCTCTCATTTTCTATTGATTTTAATGTGAGATACCAGGGCGAGCACACTTATTTGATGAAAAAAATGATACAAGACTGTTATTAAACCTATAATTAGGGCCAGATGCAGACAATGCAGCAACTTTTCTTTCCATTCTTTGATTTGTATAGGCTTCATAGCTACAACGTTGGTTAACCAGTACAGAAATCTCAAGCTTTCCGTTTGTAATTCCAATACCAGTATCATCTTCAATATTGCAATTGTGAGACCTTCTAGTAGAATCAAGTATAAAGGTTAACTGTGAACACCTATTAGCAAAACAATCTTCCTTTTCGATCTAAAAATAATTAATTTAGAACAAACTTAATAATAAGATGCTTAGTAAATTAATTATATTAAATATATAATCTTTGTGAAATTTTTGATTTTAATAAAAGTAGAAATATAAAGGTAGTATAATGTCTTAAAACACAAGCAATTCTTACTTTGTTCAATACATTTAACCTATTCCAGGTATTAACTTTTGTGGCTGCTGCAAATACAAAAATATTATTAGATTGTGAACTACTGGATTCTTGTGAACTATTGAATTTGTGTGAATCAATGAGTTAGTTTTCGGTTTTATTTCTAATTTCGGGTTCACTTTCTTTTATAAAAGTTATAAAACTACAAATTTTAGTATTTAGCACCATCCCAAAAACATCCTTTGCAAGTGCAGTGGCTTGTTCATAAGCATGATTTATTGCTCCTTTAATATCATTATTTGAAGGCCAATCTTGCAAGATTTCCAAGTTTTCCATGATACTTGAATCCGAATAATATGAAATATATCCTATATAATCAAAATAATAAGTTTTATTTTATTTTTATTTTATAATTTTTATAATATATTATATATGCTAACTAATACCCATTGTTTTTTCCTTTTTTGATCTAAGAGAACTCGAGGAATAAGCCTTATACAAGCATGCAATCTTTGGCACTAATACGATTAAGTCATTGAATGAAAAATCAGGAAGGAACTGGTAAGCTAATCCAAAAAAATGTTTACATTCTTCTGAACTATACATCTATGGTATAAAAGGATATTGGAAGTAGAAATCTCGGTAAGCAATTATTAAAAGAATCTACAATCAAAGTTATATGATAAATAGATAATCATATAATAATTTATATAAAAAAAATAATAATTCAAATACTATAGATTCAAGAAGACTCATTAAAATATTAAACGTTACTGGTGCTATAAAGTTTTTTTTAATACTAATAAATTCTGGATAATCTTGTGTACATGTTTGAATATAACTTTTCTAATAGTTTAAGAAAAAAAACCCCAACATGATCATTTTGCATCTTTTGAAAGATGAAATATTATGATTTTGAAATGTGTCAATTAATTCTTCTACAAAAATTATTTATTTAATTAATAGTAAAAATTAAATGAAAATTTGAAATTTAAATAATTTTTATCAAAAACAAACAAAAAAACAAATAGCCCATATTTTTCTGTAACAGATTCATCATTTTGACTAATAACTTGATTGAGAAGTGAGGAGCAAAATAATCGGTAAGCAGCCCCATCATCCTGATGATCAACATTTTTGATATCCTTTTTGTAAAGAATACTTTGAGAGTTTTTTCTTAATTCAAGAATTTTATCATAGTGTGCTGAGTATTTTCCAAGAGACAAAAGACATGCACCAGAAAAAAGTGCATTATGACAGTCCTTTTTTGCATGTAGAGGATCTGTAATTCAAATAATAAAACTGATATCAGGATAAATAGGGCAACTAAAATTAATATCTGAAATAAATTTAGTTAAAGTAATTATTATTAAAAGTGTTACATATTATTTAATATTTACATACTATAAAGTTTATCCTTAAAAATTAATCTTTCACATGTTTTTACTTACATAAGTTGGTTTTGCACATTAAATTCTGCAGATGCCCTATTAGCACCAAATCTAAGAATTGGAAGTTGAAGATGTGCTGTCATGTCAAGTAACTTTTATATAGTTCAAAAATATTTGCTGTCATTTCTTTTCCTTTATTTGCAATCATTACAATAACACAAGGAGAAAATTTTGGAAGAGAAATCTATATATAATGATAAATAAACGAATAAATATACATTTTATATATGCAAAAAAATTTGTTAATAAAAATTATTTTTTTTTTTACCTGCAATAGATAAACATGGACTTGAGAAGCAATAGCATTATGTGACTTAATTGTATCAATAATTTGGTATATATCTTCATATGAAGAAACTCTAGTTGATTCTGTCAAAAGTGTCAAACCAACAATACAGCTATAAAGAGATGAAAATCCAAGCCTTTCTTTAAGTTTAGTATTGTCTGACATCACAATAATTGGACCAGTATATTTGATTGTATCAACAAGTCTTTTAACTTGTACTACATTTTCATAGCAAAGCTCAGAATTATGAAGTGCAAATAGTGAGTATGTGCAGTATAATCTTATATTTTAAATAGCACGACCTGCAAAATTTTGCCTAAAAATATTATATGCTCGTGGGCTAAGACTTGCAAGAATAACTAAAAAGTCAAAAAATTGATCTAAATATTTAAAATTTTGGAATTCTTTTTTATGTTGTTCACGATTAGCAATTTGTACCATTACTTGACAAAGTTCTTCAAATACTTTTTTGTTGTTAAAGCTGCCTCTTTGATCTATTTCTGCAAATTTTACTCAAAAACATTTTTCATCATTTGTATTGGTATTATTTACTATATTTAAAAGATCTCCAATATCTTGATTATAGATATATTTTGCTACTGGATTACTACAAAGTTGAATCTTTGGCATAAATTTTTTTTTATTTTTTGGTTTTTCTTGTTTTGATAGAGCATTTTTTTATTAATTAATATAAAAAATTTTTTTAATTAAATTATATATTAAAATAAAACTATATAATATTTTATATAATACCTTAAATACTTGACTATCTTGAACTTCTTTGCAATAATCACATAATCAGGAAGAACAAGTTGTATATTGTTTACATAAAACTGATCATATTACTGAACCTTCGATTTTCCATTTTGATTGGCGAATTAATTCTTTGTCTAATAATTGTAACTCTTCTTTAGAAAATTTTTTGTATTTTACAGGTTTA